GCCCCGCGAGTGCTGGAGGCCGGACTTCGGGTCCGTGTGGCTTGGGGCATTGCCCGTTCCTCGCCGTTGGCGTTCCCAGGAGGAGCGCTTCGCTAAGATACGGCCTCCGGTGTCGCCGTCAGGCCTCAACGTGACTCCGTGACACCGAGTGGCCGGCGCCCAGATGTCCAGTTCCCATCACCGCCCCGTTTTCCTGGCCGTGCGCAGTCGGGACCCACGTGGGGTCCTCACGCCCGGCGCCCCCTCCAGCTGCTGGCCTTAGAATTTCCACTGACGTTGGCCCTTTTGTAAAGGAGCTCGCTGTGCAACGGAGGCCAGGTTTCTGCAGACAGCGGGCTTGACCGCAGGGGTCTCGGGAAGGAGGCCGGAGCGATGCTCAGATCCGTGGCCCCGTGGGCTTTGGGCTGGGGTATTTACCAGGGAAGTATGGAACAAGAAGGGGAGGGGGCTGGGATGTGATTGGTGGGAAGCAATGTGGGCTTCAAGAGCTCTTTACGCAGCGCGGGGACCCCCTCTTCCTGCCTCTTCATGGGTCGCATGTGCAAATTGGGGGGAGGGTGTCATATGTAACATGCATTGGATTTTCCACCTGTGAGGTCTAGAGTTCACTGTCCCTCCTTCTAGCCCCTCAGTGTGCCTGCTGTCAGCACGTTGTTTCCTATCTGCCATTTCCCTGGTCTGCAAAAGGAGCTTGGTGTTCGCTGTGTCATCTTGTTTCTACCTCATGGGCCTTGTAAATTAACAGGGTATGTTTCAGTCCACTGCTGTCTTTGGTTCATTCCTCAATCTTGAGGGATCAGGGGCGACCACCCGCTCCAGCTGCTTCTTGCTGCTAAGGGGTGCAGGCCCAGCAAGGGCTTCAGGAGTGAAACAGGTTTACGTTGAGCTGTCGGAGGGGTTGGTATCGCTTCAGTTCCGGGTGATGACAGGAAAACTGGTGGCCTACAGCCTTTGAGACACAAACTTGACAAGAAAGTTAGGAATTATAAGCCCAGACAGGCATGTGAACAGATGCTCAACATCGTTAATTATCAGAGAAATGCGAATCAAAACTACAATGAGTTATCACCTCATACTTGTCAGAATGGCCATCATCAAAGTCTACAAATAATAAATGCTGATGAGGGTGTGGAGAACAGGGATCCCTCCTACACTGATGGTGGGAATGCAAACTGGTGCAACCAGTATGGAGGCTCCTTAAAAAACTAAAAATAGACCTGCTATATGATCCAGCAGTCCTGCTTCTGGGCATACATCAGGAAAAGATAAAAACTCTAATTCAAAAAGATACATGCACCCTAATTGTTCATAGCAGCACTAGTTACAATAGCCAACACATGGAAACTCAGCCATTAAAAGAAGTGAAATAATGCCATTTGCAGCAACGCAGATGGTCCTAGAGATAATCACACTGACAAAAGTCAGAGAAAAACAAATATACCACTTATATGTGGAATCTAAAAAATACAAATGAATATATTTATAGAACAGAAATAGACTGACAGACACAGAAAACAAACTTACAGTTACCAAAGGAGGGAGGGGCAAGGGATAAATTAGGAGTATGGAATTAACAGATACACACCACTATACCTAAAATAGACAACAAAAGATTTACTTTACAGCCCAGGGAACTTTAATAACTTAAAATAGTCAAGAATCTGAAATACATATGTATAACCGAATCACTTTGCTGTACACCTGAAACTAACAATATTGTAAATCAATTATGTTTCAATTTAAATAAATAAATACATTTAAAACATTAAGGGGCTCAAACAGAAGAATCAACGTGGCTGTGACCAAAGGAAATATTGGTGGGCATAGCCATGTAACCAAGACTTGCTGGGGAGAAAATGCTTTGTATAAAGAATTCCATGTGTCCTGGGCAGGATTACCGACCCCACATAACCGGCCGTCCTGTTGGTGTATTTTCTTTGTTATCTTGCTCCACTGGTCCAGTGGTACCTGTCATCGTGCGGCAGGCACTGTTAGCAACCCCGCAGACATGGCCTTGCTCCGCCAGGAGGTAATCCAGGGCCGTTCTAGGATCCAAGGAGTTCACCAACACCTTGAATTGGTGTAAACTAGAGGCTAGTGTTTTGCTCAGTACCCCCACAGAGGTGGTTAGATTTTGAAGGGTAGTCTCGTGGCCAGCACCCGCTTCCCGCGGTGCTGCTGGTCCTAGTGCCGAGCCGCACCTGCAATCATCAGTCCTGAGGCACTCTTCCTTTTTGTCTGCTTTCCTGGGGGAAGAATACTTATCTCAGAGTGGACATGTTACCGACCCTTTTGAGTCAGGCCCCCGCAGGGGTCCTCCTGCCTGGTGTCACTGACAGCAGTAAAACTAAGCCAAGTGGGTTCAGGAACAAAGGGAAGGTTTATTCCTTGGACAAAGGATGGAGAAGTCGGAGCTTCCGCTCTGGACGCTCCCCTGAAAGGCCGTCAGCAGAGCTGCTTTACAGGTCTGGTCTGGAGGGAGGGCGGCGTCTGCGAGTTGGGTGGAGTCACGTGCTCACCGCAGGCCAGAGGGAAGAGCCAGGTGCAGCATTTCTGCACACGGCACGCTGTTGCCGCCTTGAACTGAGGTGTCGTGAGCAGCCCCTCTGCACACGGCTTGCCAAGTCAGGGTGTCACACCTAGAGGCTTTGCACTAGGAACTGATCCGATGTGTCAGGTGGGAGGCCTCGGCACAGGGCCCCCTGCCAGCAGGTGAAACTAGACTAAGCACCAGAGGTTAGGCCTTAACACCTAGATTCCATCTCATCTTTCCTGGGGGCCACAGGGGCTTTGTTGGTGGCATTTCCTTTGGGCAGCAGGCTCTCTGGGCCCCAGAGAAACCACTCCCACATGTTTTTCTGGAGAGAAAAGGGCTGAGGCCAAAGATGAGACAGTGGCACATGAGTGACACGAGGAAGACAATGGGCCCAACTCGTAGGGTCTGGTAAGCCACAGCCCTCCTTGGGGGCCTGTTTCACAGGTTCTATTTTGGCATGCTTGAGCCATTCTTGCTGCTGGAGGGGCTCTCGGTAGCCAGCATGTTGTCCGGCTCTCCGGGAAAGACGGGAGAGCATCCTGGGAGGCTCACCCATGTTTGGTTGGGGTCCGTGCCCGTGCTGACCCACTTTGGACTCCCCCCTGGAGTGGCTGCAACTCGTAAGGCTGGCATCAGCGAGGTGTCCTGGATTGTGGGTGAATGGTGGGTCCAAGCTCTGAAGGGAGGCATTTAAGTTCTCAGCATTAAGAGAATTGCATAGTGTACAAGGAGAAGTCTTATTAATAGCAGGGAATTTCTGTTTTGGGAGTGGACGCTAGGGAGGCCTCTAGAGGAAGGTCAAGGTCATATTATTTAGTTCTCTTATAATTAATGGGGGAGCTGGGAGACGTTTTTGGCTGGCAGGGCTGAGTATATTTTCCCCCGACTACGAGGATTAGGATGACAGACCCAGGTCCCTCTTCACCCTTGCTGCCATGGCTTTTGGGAGGCGATTCAGTTCTTGTATCCCAAGCTCAGTGCGGGACAACTGGCAGGAGGCAGGTGGAATGGGGGGAAAAAAAACAGGGTCCACCCAGTTCTCTTCAGGACCATGGGGATCATTGACAGATGAGTTATTTGTGTCTGAAAATACAGGACTGTGAGTGTA